GAGAAATGAACTGTGGGAGCCACACAGTTTTTCTAAAGCTATTGCTTCATTAACCAAATCGCACAACAGATGACAGCCTAGGCAGCATATTGCAGCATGTCTTTGGTGGATACTAATAAGTTGGAGTGGATTTCCTGCAGTATCAACATGTTAACACATACGACAAAGATTTCTAAAATGGTGAGTGACACTGAGGGCTTTGGTTTTCACACTGCTGAAAACCTTCAGAGAAATATAATTGACATTATCTGAAAAGTCTGCACTTTTATGGGGGCTGGTTGAGGCCCTGAACTCACAAGCTGCATCTAAAAGCTTTGACTGAAACAAATCTGTGCATATGTTTCTGTTCTCCCTAAAACAAACAAACAAGAGGCTCATCGGTACATCCTAGGGTAGCTAGGAATACTAGCTAGAAATACTCTCATGTTCCGTTTTTATTTTCTGCTTTTTGTATCATCAGAGTGAATTGGATGAGAATCAAATACAGATGGCTGGAGATGATGTGGATTTGCCAGAAGACCTTCAGAAGATGGTGGCAGAAGATCAGGTGGAGGAAGAGGACAAGGACTCTATCCTGGCACAGCTGCAGAACATCCAGAATATGGACGTGGATGCCATCAAAGAAAAGGCACAAGCCACCTTCACCGAAATTAAACAGGCTGCTGAGCAGAAATGTTCTGTGATGTAAGAGACACTGCTATCCAAGGGCTGTGAATTCAGTCTTGTCTCACAGGGGCTGCAGAGTGAGGGCAGACAGAGGAATGCACTTAGCTCTATAGCATTAAATGTAAATATAGAAAAGCAAAAGAGAGAGAGAAAGAGAGAGAGACTTTAAAACCCCGGGACGGGGTCAAAATTTACATGCTGTGACTACTTAGTGTGAAGTTAGAACTGATCCTCATTTTTTAACATAACATTTTTCCCCATGGAAAAAAAATGGCTTTAAAAAAGCTAATATTGGGGAAAAAATGTGCCTTTTTCCATTTTTTCAAAGTGATCAAAATTATATTAAATGCATATTTTTTTTAGCAAAGTTGTGCTTCTGATGCATAACATATATGTAACTACTCATTTAATTCTGCTTTCAGAAATAAATACCTCTATTTATAATAAAAACATGTCCGTTTCAAAGATTTTGAAACAAACCTTGTATTCAAATGTTGACATTTTCTGCCAAAACATTAAAAAAAAAGGGGAGGGTTTTGACCATCTCTGTACTAAATACAGCAAAAGGCAAAAAGCGAAGCATATAACTACAGCTTGGGACAAAAATATCATCACATACAGAACTGAGTGGGGACTTGTAGGAAAGCAGGACCTGGTAGCCATCAGCGAACCATGGTCAGTCAGGAAGGCAGACTTCTCCAGGCTGCTTTAATGTCACAGCCTCTCGGTCTTCAGGTGCAGTTCAGATGTTAAGTGGCAGCAGCGGCCCTCTGCACCTCTGCACAGGCTCAAATGAGCTCGTCACATTTAATCGGGGAGTTATCTCTGTACAAGGCTACATCTGGCCCACCTGGGAGATATTGCCAGGCACCTAAAAACTGAGAGAAAGCGTGGCTTTTACCAGCTCAATCCAACCGAGTCTGTGGGACAGGCAGCATCCAGTTCAGTGGTTTTAGATTCAGGACCAAGTGAGATTTTCTTTGCTGTTGTTCAGAGGGTTTTTCTGGGGAAAACCCAAGTAGGTGCTGGCCTGATTGCTTCCCACTCCCCAACAAGCAGAGCTGATGCTGCTGAACAGCCGGAGGAGCGCAACCCCATGCAGAGCAGCTGGCTGGCTGGGGAATGGCTGCTTGCAGCACTGCCAGGGCCACCAGCCCAGCACCCCGGGCCAGCAGTGACGGGGCCAGCAGGTGCCATCTCCACCAGCCCTCTGGAGCAGGGTCCTGCAGTTAAGGCAGGTGGGTGCATCAGTCTGTCTCTGCACTTGCACAGCCATAATAGTTATCATGCACGACGACCCACACAAAAGGTGCACAGCCCTTGCATGTGGATGATGTGTACAATGCCACTCCCAAGGGGCTCTGATATCCCATAAAATGAAGGACTTTGTAAGTTCTCCAAGAGCTAGCCTGTGAATGAAATTTGCAAATGAATACATACAGCACCTTCCTATGGGTTTGTGTCTCTCTCTCTCTGTCTCCACCCAATCAAGTAAAAATATTCATTTTAAATGAATAAATGCACTAAGTATGGTTTGTCTCTTTTCTTTCTTTCTTTCTTTCTTTCTTTCTTTCTTTCTTTCTTTCTTTCTTTTGGTCTTTCTCTCTTTCTCTCTTTCTCTCTTTCTCTCTTTCTCTCTTTCTCTCTTTCTCTCTTTCTCTCTTTCTCTCTTTCTCTTTCTCTCTTTCTCTCTT